TTTTTTTTTTTTTTTTTTTTTTTTTGGTGGCACCAGGAATTGAACTCAGGCCCTTGCGCTTGCCAGGCAATCATTCAATTTATACTAAATTAAAATCAAAATTGATCAAAGATCTAAAAACTGAAGCAAAAAAGTAAACCTACTGGAAAGTAAAATAGGTAAAACAATTGAAGATACAGGTGTAGGAAAGGATGTTCTAAACGGAACTTCAATCACACAAAGCATAGAAACAAGAATCAACAAGTATGATTCTATCAGCCTAAAAAGGTTCTATACAGCAAAAGAATCAAGTGAAAAGACAACTATAGAATGAGAAAAATTTCCAGTTATCCTACAAATACAAGACTAGTGTACATAGCAATTATTAAGAAATCAAACAATAGCAAATGTCAAAATGACTATGAAGAAAAAGAGACCCTCCTGGGTAGTTAACAGAAATGCAGACTAGTAAAACCATTATGGAAATCAGCATAGAGATTTACCAAAGGACTGAAAATAGAATAAGATTCAACACTCTCCTGATAAGTATCTTCCCCAAAGAACTTACGATTTAATAATACAGTGTTACATTTACACTAATATTTATAGCAGCACATTCATAAAAGGTGAATCCCAGAAGCAACCATGGACAAATGGTTGGATAAAGCAAATGTGATATCCGTGTGTAATGAAATACTACTCTACTATAAAGAGAGACTTTTGAGCTGTTTCCCATGAAAATCACAAAAAGAATGACATATTTGTAAGAAAATGAATGTACCTGGAATATACTAAATTGAATGAAACAAACTAGACACAGAAGCTTAAATACTGTAGTGTAAGTCTCATTTGAGTAATGCAAAGTACAAAGACAATGGTAAAAAGATTGGTTCCAAGGGAACAAGGGCAAGAGATAAGGAAGGGAAGGGGAAATAAGAAGAATAAAGATGAGCCATGTTCAGGAGCCTAATAACCCCATTTAATGTAAAACTACATGCTATAACATGAACTAAGATGAATAATATCAACAAGATTGAATTAGGGGGTAAGAGGACAAGAAGAGGGGGGCCAGCAGGAGAAAAGGGGTTAAAACAAAGAAAAAAACTGTAATATTTGCACATAACCATTCCCCCAAGATGATTGGAAACAACATGAATCACAAGTATGTACTAATAAAATAAAAAATATATTAAAAAAACAAAATCACTTTCTCATGTATAAACAACATATAAGTAGAATTTGAAAACAAACATTGTGCTATTTACATTAGCATAAAAGTATAGTATTTATAAAGAAATCTAACTAAATATTTACAACACCAAATCTCTGATAAAGAAAAAAAGTAAAAGAAGAATTAAATAGCAGGGAGACATTCCATGTTTATGGACAGAAATACCCAATATTATCAAGGCGTGAGTTTTTCCCCCAGTCTTATAGATTCCAAGAAATTCCAATGAAAGTGGAATTTTGAAAACTTACCTTTCCACTTACAGAGTGATACAAAATTCTCAGAATACTGAATGCAATATTGGAAGAAAAGAATAAAGTGGAAGGACTGGAGCTGCCCTACTTAAATGTATTACAGAAATGTACACTAACCAAGACAGTGTGGTGACAACAAAAAATAAACAAAGAGAAAAAAAGGAAATAGAATAGAGAGCCCAGAAAAATATTCATGTAACTGTAATCACTGATTTTTGGAAAAGGAGCCAAATAAATGCAATGCATAGGAAGACTGTCTTGTAAAGAAATGGTGGCAGCATGACTGCACGTCCAAACAAAAACAAAACAACAACAACAAAAAAATCAAATCTAAACATAAACTCTACGTGACTCAGTGGTGTCCCAAATTTTCTGATCAAGGACATTATGGGGCCACAGAGCGAAGTGATCCACAATGTAGAGTGTGCCTAAGGAGAGTCACATGGAGAGAAAAGCATTCTCTCAGGCTTTCACATACAGCAAGTTGGTCAAGCAATAGCCGTGACTCATCCACATGGCTGACACTGACAAAGGATCTACAAACTGTTGTACAGGGTTTCAAGGTAAATCCTGAGGGGATTTGACTGACATTGGAAGATACAAAAGTTACATTTTTAGTTATATAGGTCTTGCTTTATCTTGGTCTTAATCATCCAGCAGAAAAGTATAAAAATGAGGTATAAAAAGTAAAGCCATATTAATATGCTGAGCTGTAAAAGGCTCAAGTCAACAACTTCTGACACTGTCAATCATGCAGATAGCCCACTATTATTATGGACTACTGGACTATATTGGATTAGCTTGCTGAATTCATGCACCTACAATATTCAAAAGGCAATGGAATACCCATCTCTGACAAAATTAAATGAAAAGGGGGATATAAATGAAAGATCATTTTGTAGTGAAAAAGAAAATATATATTATATATTATATATATATATATGCAAAATAGGATAGATATACAGCTACTTTCTCTTAGTTCACTGAGAAGAAAGATTTGTACTAATAGTGTTTAGATAAGATATCATGTCTGCATCTTATACTATGAATAACTACTATGAAGACAACAATATGCAATATATTGATTATTGTAACTGTCCTACTAACCTGTTTTGAAACTGTCTCAATACTATTTCTTTCTCAATAAAATTTTTTTCAGTTGTCTGAAATTTCTATAACCTTGCTCTGGATAGAGCAGGGCAAGGCCTCAAACCGTTTCAAAACTGTTCTAGCAGCTACTGTAAGAATGCACAGGGTCACCGCAGACCCCAGCACACTGGAGGCTTGCTATCAATAAAATTAATATATAAAAAAATTAAAAATAAACTTTACATAGTTCACAAATATTAAGTCAACATATATCAGAGACTTAAAAATCTAAAACAGAAAATGATAAACCTACTAAATAGCATAAAAAAGACATAGATTACTTGAATTTGGCGATGAGCTTTTAGTTACACATTAAAGATGTGTAGCCTTCCTCATGACACACATCTTGGTGTGCATCCATGTATTTCATCGATAATCTCATTATTCATGAAAGAATTATAAGCTGAATTTCTTTAAAAGTAAATATTTTTGCTTTGCAAATGATACTGAGAAGACAAGCCACAGACTGGGAGAAAATATCTGTGAAAGATATAACTGATATAATAATATAATCCAAATATGTAAAGAACACACAAAACTGAACTGTAAGGGGAGAGCCAAATAGCTCAGAGCATTAAAGCTCCTGCAAGCAGGCACAGGGGCCAGGGGTCCAATCCCCAGGCCTGCCATGCCAGCCCCACCCATACAGTGCACTAAAATGATGATTGAGACTGGGCGTGGTGGCGCATGCCTGTAATCGCAGCTCTTCGGAGAATGTAAACAAGCGAATCACTATGAGTCTGAGCCAGTAGTGAGACCCTGAACACCCTGTAGACCCTTCCCTAAAATTAAAAAAAAACTGGATAGCATACAATAAATAATTCAAATAATTTTAAATGGGCCAAAGATCTGCAGAGACACCCCATCAAAGAAGATATACAGAAAGAAAGTAGTTAAGCATATAAAGATGTTCCACATCAAAATTATCAGGGAAATGCAAATTGAAACAGTAATGAACTATTGCTCCATACTTATAAGAATGACTAAAATTCAGACCACTGACAATACTAAATGCTGGTAAGAATATGGAATGATAAGAACTTTCATCCATTTGGGAGGAATGCAAAATTGTATGTCCACTTTGAAAAATAGTTTGATAGTTCCTTGCGAAGCTAAACATTCTCATACAATCCAGTAACTGTGTTTGTTGGGATGTATACAAAAATTTGACAACTTACATTCATACAAGAATCTGCACACAGTTATTTATAGCAGCTTTATCCAGAATTTTGTCCAAACTTGGAAGCTTTCAATATGTGCTTCTGTAGATGGATGAGTAAATAAACTGTGGTATATCCAGGTGAGAATGCTATTCATTGCATTACAGATAAGAGCTTCTCAGCATGAAGAGACATAGAGGAAATTTATTTATTTTTTTATAAAAATCAATTCTTTATTCAAACATAACTGTACATCCAATGAAAATGTGTATTCATATCCAGCATAATTTAAAGGCCATGGTAATATGTGCTTTGGATTGGTGTCTAAAGTTGGGTGAATTTTAAGTTCTGGATTATTGATAAGTCATCATGGAGCCCGCAGTGTTATGTGTTTGACCCATGGGCTTGCCGCAGAATGGATTCTAAGCAAGGGCAGAAATGGAGTAGAGGTCACACATGGGGCAACAACTAGAAAGAGCTGAAGAGAGGATGAAGCTGGGGGTAAGCAGACAACTTCCCCATCTAGATTTGATTTCCTCAAGAGCCTTTTCAAAAGCATGTTCTGCCTCATGATACTGAACCAAATGAAATTTAAATACGTATTTCTGAGTGAAAGAAGCCATTCAGAGTATACACGCTGTGCTGTTCAGATCATGTGACTTTTTTTTTTCCAGAACTGGGGATTGAACTCAGGTCCTTGTGCGTGCCAGGCAAGCACTTATTCTACTGAGCCATCTCCCCAGCCCCTCATGTGACATCCTGATAAGGGAAAATCATGGAGGCAGAAAAAAGGCCAGTAGTTGCCTGGGGACAGGAGTAAGAGGAATAAGTAGGCAGATCAAAGACTTTTAGGGCTCTGAAAATATTCTGTGATACTTGTTTGGTTTTCTAATGTGGTCTTACCAGGTAACTTTGGTAAGTCTCGGCTGCTAACGTAGCCTAGGCTAACTGATCTCAACCTCACATTGATCTTGCAGCCTCAGCTTCTGGGATGCACCACAGGCAAATGGCATTATGCCTGGTTTTGCATAATACTTCAATGGTAGATACATGTCATCATAAGTGACAACTTATGTCATCATAAGGGACTTCACACCCACACCCCTCTCTCCAACCTCTCCCTCTCTCTCTGTCTTTGCACTTGTGCATCATCAAAGCATGACGTAACAAGAAATCCTTCACCAGTTACGAGACTTACTTGAACTGTTCAGCCTCCAGAATTGAAAGAAACACATTTTTATTCATTGAGTTTGTAGCATTCTGTTTATGGCTGCACAAAATGTCCTAGGACTGTGGCTAGGGATGCACCTCTGTGGAGGGAGGGGGTAAGTGGAAAATCCTCTGTCTCTCACTCAGTACTTGCAGTGAACCTAAAGCTGCTCTGATGGATAAAGTCAAATAAGTAAATAGACAGCTTTTAAAAGAAGATACAAATAAAACATGTAAGTTATAGCAAACTGTAGCCTCATCACTCTGTCCATGTTTTTAAGTTTGTTTGTTTGTTTATTTATTTATTTATTTATTTATTTATTTGGTACAGGGTCTCACTACGCAGGTCAGACTTGTAGTGATCCTCCAGTCTCAACCTCCTTAGTACTGGGATTATAGGCACGTGACATGCCCAGTTTAGGACTGGCTTAGCGCACCCAGGATTCTAGGGCCAGCATGGTATGAGGTACCAGGGACCAAACTCAGGAACTTGCTCTTGCTAGACAGGCACTTAGACTACTAAGATATCTCCCCAGCCACTCTGCCCAGATTTTTTCACTACACATAGTATACATATATAAATCAACACATTCTATCCCATAAATATGTATAATAAAAAATTAGAAACTATTTTTTCAAGTTATAAAAGAGATGGTTGCATCCTAACTTGTGGAATGTGAATGTAAATTTATTTGGAAATTTGCAGATATAACTAATTTATGATCTCAAGACGAGATCATCCTAGATTAGCGGGCCTTAAATCCAATGACAAGTGTCTGCTTATAAGAAATAGAAAAAAAGACATGGACACAGAGATGATGGCTAGCTAAAGACAACAAAAATTGAAATCTTATAGCACAGGCAATGCTCGGGGGCACGAGGAGTTGAAAGAACACTAAAGCATTCTTCCCTAGGTGTTTGGAAGGGGCACTGTCCTATAACACTTGAATTTCAAATGTCTATCTCCAGAACTGTGAGAAAATAAATTTTTGTCCTTTTAAGACACAAAGTTTGCTGGGGAGAAAGCTCAGCTGCATAAGTACCTGCCTGGCAAGTGCAAGGTCCTGAGTTCAGTTCCCAGTACCAAAAAACTAAATTTCAGAAAAGACAGCAAAGTTTTTAGAACTTTTTGCACCAGCCACATAAAGCTTCTGCACCACTGTAGTAAAATAATATGAACTAGACAAATTACAAAGGCTGAAGTTTCCATCTTCTTTGCACTGTCACAGTCCTCATCTGCTGTCTTTTTCCATCGTCACATTTCCTTCCCTGATTTTCCAACCTTCCTCTATCATTTATGATCACCTTGAAATTGCAGTGAACTCACCTGTGTAATCCAATGCAATGTCTCTGTCTCAAGACCCTTGATTTACTTAAACAACACCGAAGTTACTTTTGCATGCAAAGTGACACACGGACAGTATGCATGATTCAGGAATTAGGATGAGGATAATTTGGGGGTTGGAACAAACATTTTGCCTGCCACAGATAGATACATCAGTGCTCATGGACAAATCCACCACAAAAATAGATGACGAGAATTATCACAGACCACAGAAAACTAGAGCAAGAGATGGAGATAAAATCAACAATAACTAAAAAACTTACATAGCACAAGCATCTATACAAAGGAAGCAGAGAAAAATAGGGTGCAGTTAAACCTTAGAATGAGTTGTCCAAAATCAGCCCTTCATGTTTGCAGGAAGAACAATGGGCCATCTAGAGGCAGCAGCTGAACTGGAAAAGTTCTAATATTCAGATTAAGTTCAAAGAATATATAAGAAATAATGAAGAAGCTGAGCCCATCTAGGCTGTATAAACTTTTAAAACTCAATAATAATAAAATATCAATCCAAATTAAAGCCCAGCAAGGAGTAGAAACCCCTAGGAATCTATTCATAAAGAATAAGACAGGAAAATGAGAGCAAAAAGAATTTCTAGTATAGGGGGAAAGAATCTCAGAAACATGAGGCCATTTATCAATCATTTTGTGAAAACAATGGGGGAGGAAGCCCTCAGGCTATGATGTTTGAAAAGCTATTTTGGCCCATCCCACCATCCTGAAAATACAGAAAAGCTCACTTCATTTAAAATGAGCCACAAACAAGGGTTGTGGTCCAATTCCATAAAACGTTATAATTTTTTTAAAAAGGAAATAAAGAGCGGAATAAAATCTTTTCAAACAACAAAAGCACTCCAAAAGGTCATGTCTATAAAACAGATGAAAACCGTAACCTAATATTTCAAAACGAGCTAGAAATCAATTAATGAAATGATGGCAACACTGAAAGAATGACATATATCATACTTGAAAACCTTAGAACAGAGGACATAGAACTCAGAAAAGTGTTCGAAATAAAAGAATATATAATTTGAGTTATTAAGACTAATGTATCTAGAAATGTGCAGAAAATCTCCCTTGAGTTTTCATCTGAAAACTAATCACCCAATTCATGTAAGAAAATGGCCCAAGCCAAGGAACGAACCACCTAAAAGGATTGGAAGCCTCTTGAAGAAGATTCTTGGAGCCCTTGGGAATCATTCCAATTCCCACAAGCTAGCATTGAGAACTTAATCCACAGTACATTTGGTAGAGTCCTCAAAGAACTTTTGCCACATTATTGGGGGGAAAGTAACCCTATACTAAATGCTGCCCAGATTCTGTTAAAAAAAAAATCAGAACTAGAAAGGATAAAATGGTTTCCAAGAAGTTAAATAGTGTCACAGAACAAGAGGTAAAAATATTTGTAATGGAATAAAAATACCTAGGAC